TATAAAAATAAATAGATTTTTCCAATTTTTCTAATTATACGACAATAAAGACACTCACAATTTTTTTTTCTCCAAAAAAAGACGAGTTATCTTCGCTAGATCACCAGCAAAAGTAAAAAACCGCTTCTAAATCTCTATAAAATTAACTAGGTCATTAAATATAATGTTATTTACCAAAAAAAAGGGAATAAAAAGAATATCAATTTAATTTCCGAGTAATATAAATTCCCACGGGCTCCCGAGTTCCAGACCATTGGTCAAGAACCGTCTTTACTCCATTTCTTGTTTTTTTTTTTTTTTTATCCCTTTCGGAGTTTGAGCCTTTATAACAACTTTTTCGTCCAAAGCCTATACTAGTTTCGAGAGATCTTCATTCATCGTTTCTTCCCCCCCCCTCCTTCTCAATCGATCCTCCTCCCCTCTACCAGGCCGATTGTGAATTACGGAACCACGACTGAGATTGAGATCGAAAATTAAGTAATATTATATAATTAAATAGCTAAATAACTGAAGAATTAAGAGTGGGGGCTTAGCTCGTTTTATCTAATGACTAAATCTTGACAAATATTGAAGGTCAGGTGGCTTAGTTGCCGCTCTGTAAACGGTAAACCCGAGAAATGTTGATGTTGATGTCTAAGATGATGGAAAAACACTCTCGGGATTGGGATAGGAGTTCCGTTAAAATCGTGACTTTGTAAATCATCTCTAACAATATTATTTTGTCATTATAAAACACAAATTCTTAAGAATTCTTTTAACTGTTATTTATTTTGTCATTACTAAGATTATTTATTTTTATCGTTATAATATGACTGGGAGATAAAAAATTCATTGTTATTTAATTGATTTTATTTTAATCACAAATTACTGTATTGTATATATGATAAATTTGTGACAATATTAAAATACTTATTAAAGAAAAATAAGAAAATTTTTTTCTAAGTTAAAAAAAAAAAACAATTTAAATTTACTCAATGTTGGAAAAGTAAAAGAAGGAATTTCCGGAAATTCTTTAAATATACTTGTCAGTAAATATTTTTAGGTAGATATTTTTATTTCTTGGAGCTGCTAAATAAGTCGGAAATTACTTCAATGAATTAGACTGAAGATAAAAATTTTTTTTTTTAAGAATAATAATTTTTAGTTTAATTTAATTTATTCTTGTTATTATTGAAACAGTCAAATTTTTATTTATTAATAACAATAATAAAATTTTTGTTTATTAAATAATAACTTTTGTTAAATTGTGTGGTACTTTTACTGTTTTTAAAGATATAAGCTCATCTTGACGTTACACTTATCAATAGCTTTCATTTGAGTACCCACATGCATTTTCATATATTTTTCATATATATATATATATATAATAGGGTGGCGCAAAAAAAATTCCGACTAATTTTTTTTTTTTCAGTCTCGAGTGAAAAAATGTTAGTTTTTGATGTTTTAAGAGCCCTCACCAAAGGACAGCTCAAAAAAAAAAGTTTTTTAAAGGAGGTCACTCCAAATTTTTCAAAATTTCAAAAATCGTCAAAAATCGAATTTTTTTTTTTTGAATTTTTTTTCCTCGTTACGGTATAATTTTATAGACCAAAAAAAAAATAAGTTTCTGAAAGTTTCAGTTCAAAATTTAAATTTTGAAAGGTCGCTCATAATTTTTTTTATTTTTCGTTAATTAGTCAAATCGCCGACTTTAAGTGTTGGGAGTAGTACGTTGGGCTCTTTTTGGTTTGAAAAAATCTTAACAAACGCGGCAAGGTCAAATCTCAACCAAACTGGTTTCTAAGACCAGCTTGGGATTCGAACTCACCCCTGGCAGTTGATTAAAAAAAATTAATAAATTAAAAAAAAATTATATTTTCTATGTTGTGCATGATTTTTAGTTCATCTCGTGATGTATCCTTATTGATTATAGTTCTAAATAAAAAAAAATGCTTGGAATTTCAATTTAAATAGTAAAAGGTCGCTCGAAAAAATCTAAACTAATGCACTAATAAATTGAAAAAAACTATGAGCGACCTTTCAAAATTCGAATTTTGAACTGAAATTTTCAGAAACTTATTATTTTAGTCTATAAAATTATACCGTAACGAGAAAAAAAATAAAAAAAAAAAAAATTCGATTTTTGAAATTTTTTTGAATAGTAAAAGGTCGCTCGAAAAAATCTAAACTAATGCACTAATAAATTGAAAAAAATTATGAGCGACCTTTCAAAATTCGAATTTTGAACTGAAATTTTCAGAAACTTATTTTTTTTTAGTCTATAAAATTATACCTATCAAAAACTAACATTTTTTCACCCGAGACTCAAAAAAAAAAATAGTCGGTTTTTTTGCGCCACCCTGATATATAAATATATAAAATATATGAAAAATTGATATGGGTACTCAAATGAAAGGTCTTGAGGAGCATAACATCAGAATGAGCTTATATCTATAAAAATGTCAATAGTTTACAAGATACAAGGTCATTTCTTAATTATGTATCTTATATGTTGTTAAATTGCACTGTACTTCCTTAAATATTGACGTTTTTAAAAATATAAGCTCATCCCGATGTTACACTCATCAAGAGCTTTCATTTGAGCACCCACATGCATTTTTAATATATTTTTCATATATTTACCAAAAACATAATGATAAAATTAAGAATAAATGTTCATAGGAAGCAGTTGAAAAATTTGGCATTTTTAATGCAACATTATTTTGTTTAACAGCCAATTGCTCAGAATTTAAGGCTAAGAAAATTTTTACAGTGTAAAAATATCCTTTTCGACAAAAATCGGTCAAAAAATTGATTTTTTTCCGATTTTTGAACTTTTGGTCTCCTGAAAAAAGCTTTAAATACATTTTTTAAAGTCCAATTGACATTTTTCACATGCAATAATTATCTTTCTATGTGAAAAATTCCATAAAGTAAAGAAAAAAAATTTTTTGAACCGATTTTTTTCCATAATTAAATTATAACTCTAAATTTTCAGTTTTTTGCCGGTTTAAAAATTTTTTTAAGCTTAATTGATAATTTTTATGTGCAATTAATAATTTTCTAAGCAAAAAAAATTAATAAAGTTAACAAAAAATAATTTGATATAATAATTACAATTTTAATCTAAAAATTCAATTTTTTTTTAGTTCAAAATTTTTTCTCCTAAATTAAAAATCTACAAAGATTTTATTTAGGACTTATAAAGTTGAATTTTCCAAAAATTAAAAAAATTTCCTCTAATTTTTTGAAGTTATCCAAAAAAATAAAAAACCCTGAAGGGTTACAAGTTAGTAATCATAAGGGTTGGTTGTTGTGTTAAGAGTGTGTATGACACTTTGGTAATTAGCTGGTAAACACCCTCTAAGAAAGGAGCCCTTAGTCCTTGGGGTGATCGGAAGTTGAGTGAATTAATAACGAGGGTTTCGTCTTAACCCTTCTCACCCTAAATACTTCTAATTAGTTAACTTTAATCTTCTCCGAATGAAACACTGATGGCGTTTTTCCGAGAAATTTTAGCACATTCGAAGAAATAGAATGGTTATCGCTCAAACTTAAACTTAAACTTGCACACTATCGTATACTGACATCCTGAACGGATATACCGAAGAATTAAGGAAACATACTGTGGCTTAGCTAGACCGCGATAGCCTTTTCGGTTTGTTGGAATTTTTCAGTTTATTTTTAAGCTAATCGCGACATTAAAAGAGAATATTAACAACTTTGCCGACGGAGATCTGAATGTCTTAGCTAATTGATCCGTCGCAACTGGCATTTATCAGTAACAATACTTTTTAAAGTTTGAATGTAAAATTAATCGGACTAGTAAAAAATATTTAACGCAGCTTCAAATAATTATTTTCGTAAGCTTTGTATTGCACGTAAAAAATATAGATTCAATATTTTTAAAAAACAATAAATTCAACTGTTTAAAAAAAAAAAAAAATATGATCCATAGTTAAAATAAGAAGTTATAAAGATCGTTATTCAAATACTCAAAATTATTTTTCTAGTTATATAAGAGAAATGCCAAATTTTCTAGCTATAAGAGTACCCAAAGATGGTGATACGACAAAATCTCCCCGACAAAATCTAATTTTAAATAATTTTAAATAATAATATTATTATTCTTGACAGTTGTGATGGTATTTTACGTGTAAATATACACAAAAAATCATGATAAAAGGGCAAAACGAGATTTTGAAGCGTATTTTATCGGGGAGATTTTTTCCGGGGAGATTTTGTCGTGGAACCCCCAAAGATACTCCAAGTTACACTGGTTCTTAATTAAACACTTGGTAGTCTTCTTAAACAGCCATATACCTTCGAAAAAAAAAAAACATTTTGAAAACCATTTCACAAATAAAAAATTCGGACTAAGTATTTTCATCGAACAGATGGTAGAATTTCAACCAAAAAACTGAAATTCTGCCTAACAGAATTGAAAAAACATTTTTTATCGTACTGCCGTTTAAAAGCATGTAGTTATCTGAATAGTTTTGATATAACGTTTTCAACGTCTAATACGCCAAACTTACGATTTGAACGTTCAATACATTGAATCTACGATTTAAATTTTAACTCGGGGAGCAATAGCTGATCACCAAAATGTGTAATTTTTTATACCGCTAAGTCTGAAAGCGATTGCAGCGCCTCTTCCAAGAAAGGTGGATAATCTCAATACGGAGGAATTTACACTATAAAAAGCCGGTTAATTTTTCAGTAGTTTAACATAATATTTTTCTGCAATTTCTAATATTGAATCAACCAACAATTAGTAATCTTAATTTTTGACTGTTATTTCTAACCTTAATTCTCAAGAATCCTAAATTTGGCTTTACTTCTCTCCCTTAAAAAACCCTCTACCTCCTCTGTACATCAATCCGCCATTTAGTCGCTAAACGACTCATCAAATTCCCGTCCACCGCAGCTAGAATTGCCTTGAAGAGTGCTTAACCCTAAGAAGATCATCACTGCAGATCCAGCAACTCGACAATTTCCCCGGTAAAAAGGTCCCAGCATCAATTGGCAAGATCCTCCCGAGCTTCATTCTGAAGATACATCATACAGCATTCCTCCTTGAAGCTGTCAGGCACGTGGGAAAGGTTTCTGTCCCTTGTTGGGTAAATAGGGTCCGTTCGTGCGTAGGCATTCCTTGTTCTCGTGCACTTCTGTTCATCTTGCAACTGATCTTGCAAGTGATAGCAAAGTTGCCAGTTGCTAGTTGGGAGTAAGTGCACCCACCCGTAACCACTACCGTTTTCCAGTAGGTCCACGGAATGAGTGCTTAGCTTTGATGATCCAAGAGTGTTAGTGTTGCTCATTCCCGAGCTCTCGATTGCTTCTTGATCGAGGGCACGGGCATCATTCTTATGATGGAGTGAAGCATAAAACAACTGGTTGGATCGCCAGAATGTACAATCAGTGTGATTGTTTGACACCCCATAATCAGAGTCCTTACCCCTTCCAAATTCTACCAGCTCCCACTTCTTTGCTCACCTCATTTCTTAGTCAGTTCTTCATTGTTTTATTGCTTATTCTTTGGCTTGCTTTGTCTTCTCTTGGTTATTATTCGTCTCTGTTGGATATTATTTTCTCCGTTTGGCCACTGCTCATTACCCCCGATCACGACTTGGATAGGCCAGGCCGTCCGTAGCATCAACATCATCTTAAGAGAAGGAGAAAACGAGAAACGGACACGGTTGTAATATAAAAGACAGCGTAATTTGTTTTTGTTGGTTTTGTTTTGATTATTTGCTCTGTTATGTTCCTTTCGCCGACTGATAATCGACTGAACAGCACCCAACAATTGTTATCCAGCCCAAGGATGTTTAGTTTAGCCATCCCTAAATTGTCAAATAAAAATGGGTGATGAAAAAAGGCGTAATTGAGGTATCCAATGATTGTTAGGGTGCAACAAATCGATTTTCGGCAATTGGTGTCTGGATTATGTTGATGGAATGAATTTGCAGGGTCAAAGAGGTGGTTGCCAACGGAAAAATTAATTAAGAAACCGCTGGGAAACCAGAGCAGCTAAGAAACTCAAAAGAGTCACCAAACCTGGGTTTTTTACCGCAAAATGCCAACACACCCGCAAGGCTAACAAACTAACGAGCCAATTACACTGGGCTTGCCCAAAAAAAACGAGGATCCTAGTTGTCAGAGGTTGCCTGGTGAAAACCGCAGCAATAGCTCCTTTTTATCAATAAGAAATCACCTAGGGCGGATTAATCGCTGGGATTTAGAGGGTTAACCGCGGAATTAAGTGGGTATGAGTGATTAAGAGGATTTTTATCAAGGGTACTGGAGGGAGGGGGGTTTAAAGAATGGATTTTGGGGCCTGGGGGGTCGCTTTTGGGTGAGGAATTTAAATTGGGTGCTACATTTAAAGAGCGGGATTGTAAATCCTAGATTTGGTGAAGATTCTTGGTAAAAATTGGGGTTTTTGATGATAAGTTTTGAGTTTTGGGGTTTTAGGGGAAATTTTAAGGGGAAATTGATATTTTTAAGATACTTTGGATGAATTATGATAAGAAGTCAAGATTTTTTGCGCAAATAAATAATGATAATAATAAAGTGTTCATATTTTTGATATTATGGCGAAAATATTGGCCCTATTCAAAAATTTTTTAAACAAAGGTTGTTCAAAATTTAATTTTTAAACTAATAAAATTTAATGGCATGAAATAGTATCAGGATTCTTGATCTCCCGACAAAATATTCTCGGGACTAAATATCATACAAAATCCATGATAAAAGGGCACAATACGGTAACAAGCTTATGTCCTTTTCAGATTAGTTTCTTGAAAAATGTTGCAAAAATCGTTCCTTTTAATAATTAAAATATATAATTAATTAAATATTAGTAGATTTCATAGAAATCTAACTATTGCATTGGTCCTTATGACGGAACTTTTAAAAAATTTTGCTATATTTCGACTTATAGCTCGTCAAACGGATTCAGAAAACACATATGGTTCAGAAGTTTATGTATTCAATATAATCAGCCTTGTCTCTTCTCTAACTCTCGCAATTCTGTAAGGATCCCAATAAAACGTAACATACTCATTCTTAAGACAATTTCTGAGGTTAAGTTCTAAGAAGAGCCAAATTTGTCGATTAGTTTAGAAATGATAGCAATTCAAAAATTTTAAAAAATTTTCACTTTTACCGTATTTTCATGCAATTACAATTAAATCCGATATCATATTGAAATTTCTGTAAATTGCATCTGAAAGCTTATTTAATAAGTTTTAATTTCCATCTGCCATTGAAATGCCATCAATAGGTGTTAAAATAAACTTGATAATTTTTTTCAAATTTATTGTTTTGAATTGTTTTATTGAAAAATTTAATTATCTAAGATATTTTGTCTGGAGATCAAGAATCATGGAACTATATTAAAAAGAATTAATACTTATGCATAATAAATATCTATTAAAATCTATGTAATAGTGTTTCCGAAAAAAATCAAAAACTGTGTTTTTAATTCCCGCGAAAAAATTATTCTCCCTTTGCATCCAAAAATATCTAAATAATTTTTTTATATACATGAATTCCCCCCAATTGCATTAATTAACCCCAAAAAAGCTTTATTTCCCCCAATTGCACATCTTGCAATTGAAAAACGCGAATTAGCATCCTTAAGAGCATAATTACCGAAAAGTTAAACAGAAAAGCGGCCGGAGTTGAAATGTCGTGATTACGTTGAATTAGAGGGCTGCGAGCCGGAACGAGGTATCAAACTATTACCTCAAACCTTAGTCCGCTCCTCCTCCTTGAGGATAAGTTGCTTACCGTCGATCCTCATAACCCTGCTATACAGCAGGTCGGCGAGCCCTAATCGGCTGAAGATAATCAACAAACCAGCTAATGTACAAATGAGCGGCGTTTACCCGGCTCTCATCTTTCACAAAAGTAAATCTGCTGGAGTTTGTACTCACCATTGTGCGGACTGTGCTTGTAGCAGTCTTGGTGGGTGGAGGTGCTGCTGGCGCCCAAGTGCCCCGAGTTCGGCGAGTCATTTGGGTTCCCGTTGCTTACGCAGCTTCCATTGTTGTTATTGTTGTTGTTATTATTGTTATTATTATTGTTGTTATTGTTGTTATTGTTAGCAAGGTGGAGATGGTTCTGGTGGTGGTGCTTGGTGCGCCTATAGGACTCCAGCTCCCTTAAGTGGCTCGTGAAGGAGGTAGGCGCATCCAAAAAAGGCCGCTGGCCAATTCCTAGAGCACGGAATTGCTGATGTTGCTGCCCTGGAATCAGAAGAATCCTTATTAGTGATCGAAATTGCCCAAGATCGAAATTCTTCCAAGTTCCGAGGGAGCTGCTCATTGCTGGTCATTGATGTATGTATGATGCATCCTGCAACTGGGTTTATTAGCTTGTAATGAGCTTTGTGACGTTTGATTGCCAATTAGCTTCGGGATCAATGCAATTGAGTGGGATAATTAAGAATCTTCTCTATATGGCGCATCAGTTGGGTCAATAGCATTCCGCAAATTCCTTGTTTATGGTTCTGCTATTTCAATTTCATAAAGAAATTTATGGATTACTTCAAAAAAATAGATTATTTTTTAATTCGCTATATCTCCTAAACTATTAAAAATTTTGATGGATATATTAATTTATATCTGGTTTAATATGGCTTATTATGTCCAAATATGACACTATATGCCTCTGTAAGAACTAATTAGATTTTTTAGTTCTGAAAATTTCCAACAGGTGGCGCATGGTAGCTGAATTTTCTCCCTAGAGGGGAGTTAACTTTCAGGAACTAAGTAACAAGATAAAAAAAATTTTTTTGAGTCATTTAAAGAGCTTAATTATTTTTTTGACGAACTACTAAATAAATTTTTATTATATTTTTGAAATAAGGGCATAGAAAATTAAATAAAAAATTTTTTTTCGCTTTAATTTGCAGTTTAATAACATTCTTTCTATTAATATAGAACACTATATGTCTCTTTAGACCTAATATGCTCAAATATAGATTTTTAATAGATTTTAGTTCTGAAAATTTCCAACAGGTGGCGCATGGTAGCTAAATTTTCTCCCCAACGGAGAGTTAATTTTCAGGAATTAAGTAATAAAATAAAAAAACTTTTTTTGAGTCATTTAAAGAGCGTAATTATTTTTTTGACGGACTATTAAATGAATTTTTATAATATATTAAAAATAATTGTATAAAAAATTAAATAAAAAAATTTTTTTTGTAGTTTGATAAAATTTTTTCTATAAATTTTTGGACACTATAAAAATAAATTTCAATTACGATTCTCTCATTAGCTTCCAGGAGGTTTATAAATAAACGCCAGCTAAAAGTATTGAAAAAAAAAAAAAAAAACAAACACGGGTTATCTAATCAAAAAAGTGTGGCGGTCGGTGACCGGAAACAGTGACTTTCCTCTTCACTTCTCTTTTGAACCCTTTCTCTCTGTCTCTATCTTTACACTTATACTTATCCTTTTCTTAGTATTGTTCCTACTTATACTTATGATAACCGAGGTACAATTTAAAATTGTATTTAGTTGTTAAATAGAGAGTCTAAAACACAATTAGAGTTGCGCAAGGGAAAGATGCCTGTTTGAGGAAAAAATAAATAAAGCATTATTGAGGTAATGAGAGGTGACAGGTGCGTTGCAACAAATAATAAAAAAAAAACGGCTTGTTGGAGTAACAATAGATTGTTTTGTCGTGACACCCGAATTATTCCCCAAATAGAGGAAAGGAATGAGAAGAAAGGTCTTTCTTTGGATTATTATTGGTGATATTATGGCGTGAGAAACGCACGCTTATAAAGTTGTAATTTTTATTGTTATTGCTCGGGCTTGCAATATGTTGTCTGAATTTTGAGCGACTAATTGCGTTTAATTTATATAAAAAGTCCTAAAGTCCACATTCTTTAAATAGTGGTTTGTATTTTTTACTTTTTCAAAGGAACAGTTCAATTTTTAAATATAAGGTTTAAAAATTTTTTTATAGGAAATTTTTCTATCAAATATGGCAAAATATTATATCAAGCCCCATTAGATCAGATTAAAAATTATTTATGATTTTTTTGGACCATATTAGGTCCAATATAATCATATAAAATGATTCAAGACCTAATACTGTTACATTAAGCCATATCAAGCTAGATATGGCCATATAAAAAATTTTTTATGGCCATATTAGACTCAAAGTGGTCATATAAAGTCATATTATAAAATATTGCAGTATATATCCATATGACTTAATATGGCCATATCTGGCTTTATATGGCCAATTATAATATTAAACCACATCGGATCAGATTCAAAAATTATTTATGACTGTGTTGGACCATATTAGGTCAGATATAATTATATAAAATCATATAAGACCTAAATATAGTCAAATTAATTGAGATATGGCGATATTAAAAATTTTATACGGTTATATTAGACTTGATATGATCATAAAAAATTATATCATTAAATATTGGAGTATGTATGACTTAATATGGCCATATATGGCTTTATATGGCTAATTTTTTTTGTTAATGGCTTTGATATGGGCAGATAATTTTTTTTATGAGCATATTAATGAAATATAATATAATATGCCATATATAATGTTATACATAATGCAATATAATATGCCGTGCATAATGACACATATAATGCCATATATAATGGCATATAATATGCTATGTATAATGGCATACAATGCCATATATAATGGCATAATGGGATGAATTTATGTATTAGGTCATATGATGACTTGGATGTCCTACACAATGTCGTATATGGCCATGTATATGGCACATTATATGGCCATATGCATGGCACATTATATGGCCATACCATAAATCATTATGCCATATCATATCATAGATGGCATTATATATGTCATATTATATGACATTATATATGCCATATAATTTACCATATATGGCCATATAATATGGCATATATGCCATATAATATTTTTATTTTATTTTATTTATTGAAGAAATTCGGCCCTAGAACTGACGTTCCTTAAAGGCCATATAATATGGCATATATAATGTCATATAATGACATATATAATGCCATATATTATGACATGATATGGAATAATGATTTATGGTATGACCATATGATATGGCCATATAATGTGCCATATATATGGCCATATAATGTCGCATATGTATGGTCATATATATGGCCATATATAATGCCATATAATATGGCATATCCAATTCCATATTATATGACATAATGGGCTGAATTGATGTATTAGGCTACATGATGACTTATAAAAAATTAAATATGATTATATACGGTTTTAAAAAAAATTTTTTTTTTCAAAAATTGAAAAAAATGATTGTGAATTCGATTTGATGATTTTGAAGTGAAAAATTTATGAATGAAATAGTTAATTAGAATGATAATAATAATAATGATGATGATGATGATGATGATGGTGATGATGATAATAGAAAGTTGAACAAGGCGATTTCTAATGCCAGTAGGGTAAATGTAAGCATAAAATATAGGAAATGAGATGAAAGCACTTGGAATTTGGGGCTCGCCGCGGGTTAGACACAAAAGAGCTGGTGCATTGAAATAGCGTAAATGGTCTTTACTATGTATCGGTAATACTGGGACACTAATTTTGTGCGTGCATAAAGGCAGAGCAGAGAAGAGTAAAGAGGGTATATACACGTATGTATAAAACAGCGGACTAAAATATCCTCCTGCACATGCACGGAATTCACGCGATCATCCAGTGCATCATCGGGCGCCATCTGCTCGATAATGACTTCCCCATTACCGCACCAATGACTTTGCCTGAATTATCGTCAGTTTTCGACGGGCTTTCCAACCTCTATATATATATTCCGCGATGATTTATAATCTTCCGGTATCGGTTTTTCATTTTTAAGGGCTTAGTATATATAATAATGACTAATTATTAAATTTAGGATCATTTATTTACACTTACGGGTCTTTGAGCGAGGCTCCCGGGGGCCGTCGACGGTCACCTTTATCGCCCGGGTGTAAGTTGCCACCTGGGGAGGCGTTGTAGATACGGTTATTGTGATGCTGAAGCTTTTCCCTGAAAAATACAAATATTTTAATGGGTTTTATGATAAGGTTGAATGTTTAATTCATTTTGATTATATCTGATTTAATATGGCTGAATATGTCCATATATGATACTATATGCCTCTCTCAGACCTAATATTCTCAAATATAGATTTTGTTTAAATTTTAGTTCTAAAAATTCCCAACAGGTGGCGCATGGTAGCTAAATTTTCTCCCCAGCGGAGAGTTAACTTTTAGGAACTAAATAACAAACTAAAAAAATTTTTTTTGAGCCATGTAAAGAGCTTAATTATTTTTTTAACGAATTATTAAATAAATTTTGATTATATATTAAAAATAATTGTATAAAAAATTGAATAAAAAAATTTTTTGTCATTTTTAACTGTACTTTGGTGAAGTTTTTTCATAAAGTAAGTTCATATTTAACAGTATAAGTCTCTATCGGACCTAATATGCCCAAATATAGATTTTTTTAATAAACTTTAGTTCTGGAAATTTCCGCCAGTTGGCGTATGGAAGCTAAATTTTCTCTCTAGAGGAGAGTTAATTTTCAGGAACTAAGTAACAAAATAAAAAAATTTTTTTTGAGCCATTTGAAGAGCTTAATTCTTCTTTTGATGAACTATTAAATTAATATTAATATTTGAGAAAAAAAAACATTAAAGCGAACAATTGACAGTTTAATTTTGCACCCTTAAAAAGTCATGGTCATGACTATCCTGTGACTAGCATCAAAATATCATCCGCGAGTGGAAAATGACGGTTGTAGTCAGTTGCAGGTGTAGTGACGCTCTAGGAGGGCGCGGGTGTCTCAATGCATATCATGGTGACACACAGCGGGGTAGATTTGCCGAGACAATTATAAATTGTTGACGTTATGTCCTTTTCCGAATAGAATCAAAAGCTTATAATATCTTGTCATATTTCAATATTACGTCAATTAAACACCCACTTATTATTTAATTATATTACCTGGATGATAAATGAGTGGGATGAACAAGAGTTAGCGGGCCAAATAAAATATCCCGAGTATTTAATTTAAGAGGTAGTCAATCTCCGACGGACATTTATAGACAGGGAATTAATATACCGAAGGTGGAACGGGTTTAACTGACGTTAAGGCCAGCTTTAGTATAGTAATACCGAGTGATATATAATATCATGCCACCAAAGGATCTTCCTGAGGATCTGAAGGAATACGACACCTTAAATCTTTTTTTATTTGCATCCATCATTTGCCATTAAATTGTTTTTACGCCTTTTAGATTTATTTTTTAGCCGGCTGTAAATATATAGAAATTTATAGCGACTACTGCATATTTCAATCAGACGCGAATAGATAAAATAAAAAATTACTGCCTCGAAATATATTATAATATAAATTTTAGAATGGAAGAAACAATGTAAGAGAACGAATTCTGGCCGTAAAACCTCTTTATGATTGATGACCCATTAAACCAAGCAATTACCTCTTCTTGCGGTGAGCCAACTTAGACGCTCAAAAAACAACTGGCGACACTTTAATTCTTTCCAACATTTACTTTTTTATTGTTAACTTGCTAAGAACAACCGTTTGTTTATGCTTATGCTGATTTCGAGATGGAATTCTACTGGGGAAAGTTTAAGAGGTTGTGAGAGAGTTTTCTTGTGTGTTAAGAATTTTTTTTAAGATAAAAAAAACATTGTTTATTATTTAAAGTTAATTATTTAAAAGATTGTTGATTTTTTTTAATATTTAGTTTTTTTAGTAATTTTAGATATTAAATACATTGTTAAGAAATGTCCTTGTATTTTGTGGAATATTGACATTTTTAAAGATATAAGCTCATCCCGATGTTAAACTCATCGAGATCTTTCATTTGAATACCCACATCAATTTTTCATATATTTCATATATTTATATATTTTATATATATGTATATATGAAAAATATATCAAAAATGCATGTGGGTACTCAATTGAAAGCTCTTGATGAATGTAACATCGGGATGAGCTAATATCTTTAAAATGGCCAATGGTTAAAAAATTACAGAGCATTTTAACAACTATCTTGTGAACTATTGTCATTTTTAAAGATATAAACTCATCCTGAGATTACACTCATCGAAATCTTTCATTTGAATACCCACATGGCATTTTTTATATATTTTACTCGATAAGTGTAACATCAAGATGAGCTTATATCCTTAAAAATGTCAATGGTTCACAAGATACAAGGTCATTTCTTAATTAAGTATCTAGAGATAGAAATTTAATTTCAAAAATTTTTTTAAATAAAATTTTTTTCACTTTACAATCATTGACCCATCAATCATCAATCATCTTTAGGTAATAGATTATTTGTTGACAGAATATTGTGGAAATTACCAATGCTAGTAATTATTTGACAATTGTATAGACATCCTGGCTGGCAAGTGGCCTGGGTAGATTTTCAGACTCGATGTGTTTAGTGTGGGTTGTTTGGAATCATCCCTCATCGCAGGGCATGGACACATCATGCGAGCTAGTATAGTATAGTATAGTATTAACGGATGCTTTCGAGTGGTTTAGGTATATGGGATAGGATCTATAGGTCCGCAGACTCGCAATAGAGGAGAGAGAGAGAGAGAGAGAGAAGAAGAGCGTGGAGGCGTTGATGTAGATGTTGACGGTTGGCCATCTCGATGACACAGATCGTGAGATAATGGTGTAGACACACGGACTCGTGTGAGTGTGAGTGGGTGGATAGTGGACACTGGACAGTACCTGGAACGAGTCGCGAGCCTGGCTTGGTTCCCTGTCTCCCTGTCTCTGCAGATGACCGTTCCCATCATCGAGTATTAACCGCAGCTCCCGGGAACGGGAACGGGGAGTCGGATGCCCAGGCATTATTAGCCCCAAATGCGATGGACCCCAACAACTAGAACTCTGTCTCGCTTTCTCACAGGGAACTACTCCCTCTTTCCCCTTTCGTCCTTTTGTCTTGCAATTGGTTAATTGATTTTCCTGATTTTTTCTTAATGGGACTATTTTATTCATTCGCTCAACTTTTTTTTGATTTATCATCTTTGGAATTATCAAGGTTAGCAAAAATGTCATTCAGACCTTAATTTTAGCTCGTGAAATTTTGAAGAGATTGCATTTTATTTGGTCAAGTTACAATAATTTTATAAGAAGTAATGGAAGTTTGAAAAATTTTTATAATTTGACCAAATTTTGAACAAGAATTTTTTAATTACAATTAAAATATCTGCGTAAGCATTGAAAGCGAAAAATTGTAAGATACCACAAGAAGCTTATAAAATTTTGAAAAGTATATATTCTTTACTTCTAGATACATAATTAAGAAATGACCTTGTATCTTTAGAACCATTGACATTTTTAAAGATATAAGCTCATCCTGATGTAACACTCATCGAGACCTTTCATTTGAGTACCCACATCAATTTTTTATATATTTATATATATTATATATATATATATAAATATATGAAAAATATATCAAATATGGATGTGGGTATTCAAATGAAAGCTCTTGATGAGTGTAACATCGAGATGAGCTTATATCGTTATAAACGTCAATAGTTCAGAACGTACAGGGCATTTTAGAAAATATCTTGAGAACTATTAACATTTTTAAGGATATAAGCTCATTCTGAGATTATACTCATCAAGACCTTTCATTTGAGTACCCATATATATTTTTCATATATTTTATATATATATATATATATATATATATATATATATATATATATATATATATACATATATATGACAAATATATCAAATATGCATGTAGGTACTCAAATGAAAGCTCTTGATGAGTGAAACATCGGGATGAGCTTATATCTTTAAAAACTTCAATATTTAAGCAAGTACAGTGCAGTTTAACAAAAGTCATTGTTTAATAAAGCAAAATTTTATTTATTTATAGTTCATATAAAATTTAAAAGTGACCAAAGTTGGTCTGGTAATTTTTAAATAATTTGATTGGAAATTACAAAGGTTTAAAGATCAATAATGATTAAAATTTTTGATAAACAATTTTGATATTGAAAATACCTCAAAAAATATCAGAGTCGAAATTAGTAGCCAAGCAAATTTCCAACTGACTTAATCTAAAACCAATCCTTTAGTAGCATCCCCAAGTTAACCGAAACAAATCTCTTTTTGAAAAAACTAAAATCCCGAATCGGCATGAAAATGCCCTCGGGTAGATGATGCAGCGGACAACCATCAGTGGTATGTCGACGAGCAGAGCGACAGTTATTTATCAGGCAATCCAAACTATCAAGCTTGAACTGGGTGCCTCTCTTACACGATCGCCGATTGATAGAGATGGATCACCGTTGAAGGGCAGCGCGTGAAGGGTAAAGCGTAACCTACACCCCATACATATAAATATCCGCATCTACATATGTACTGTCCACCGAAATGTGAAAAGGGAAACGTTGTACACACGCATCGCAAAATATTGTGTCCCTGCGAATGTAACGATGCGTTATGGATCCGATGCGTCCAGAACGAGCGTAAACTCTTCTCTGATTCGGGTCATCTATCTTTTACGTACCGTCATTTACCTACCAAGGACCGATATCTATTGACGCTATTACTACCCAAATTTATTTCATTTCCAAAAAAAAAAAAAAATTTTATATAAATAGACATTTATGGCTTCTAAATATTTATATATGAATTTATATGATTATAAAAGACCAGATATATGATCAGATAATTTTATAAGATCATATCTGACCTAAAAGCTCCATATTACAATTTTTTATGCAATTTTATATAATACTTAACCATATTAGGCCATAAATAGATATTTATAGCTTCTAAATATTCATATATGACTTTATGTGATCATAAAAGACCAGATATATGATCAGATAAATTTATATGATCATATCTGACTTAAAATGTCTATATAAAAAGGTTTTATGTGACCTTATATGATAGTTGACCATATTAGACCATAAATGAACATTTATGGTTTCTAAATATTTATATATGATTTTATGTGACCATAAAAAACCAGATATGACCATAAAAGACCAGATATAACCATATATGATTTAATTTGTCCATATATGGACCATATATCATTTAATATATCCATTTAGAGCCTAATATGTCCATATATATGATTTTATATGGCCATATCAAGCCAGATATGGTCATATAATGTTATATATAAAAATTAATGCCTTTATATGACTCCATAGGCCCATATATGACTTAATAAGTCAATTTCAGGGATAATATATCATTTCATGGTCAGATATGGACTAATAAATCCATAAATGGTCATATAAAATCATATAAGTATTTTAGGCCATATCAGACTTTATATGACTTATTAAACCCATTTCAGGTCTAATATATGGCATTATATGGCTTAATAAGTCCATATATAGCCATATCAAATCAGATATAAATATTTCAAGCCATATAAAACTTTATATGATTTTTTAAACACATTTTAGGTCTAAGATATGGCCTGATATGTTCATATATGGTTGAAAAAGTCTATATATGGCCAAAATGGCCATATCAGAAAATTTTATAAATCTATATGGCACGATATGGTCTGATCTGTCAATATATGGCTTTATATGATAAATGGCCATATAAAAAAATTTTTTTTTTGTTTTTATTGAAATTTTAACTCCATCTGGATTATATAGATTGATAGAGATTTTTCATACTTTGTTTCATCCTATTGGTATTATTATTGTTACTCGACAATCCGCGAATCTTGTCTCTTTCATTTGTCAATCTGTAATCCTCAATTTTGACGATTGCCCGAATAGCCAGAGGGAAAACGACGTAATATGACCGCTGGCGTTTATATAATACATATGTATATATATATTGTATATTCTATATATCCGCGTTATACCGGTCGCGGTGTCTGTTTCGACAGTTTATTAATTTGATTGGTCCTGCATCATCCGGAACAATCCACAAATACAAACAATTTGTATAACTGGACGCTTATTCGCTTATACTCATATATTTATATATGCCAGGGCCACTAGCTATCAGGAATAATGGAGACTAAAGGTATAACTCGCGGGCGAATTTTCCGAGCCTCTATATATGTCCATGGTAAATCGCTTTAGTTTGATTTCGTTCGATTAGTTTGTCTATTCTATAATAAATTTATCTATTTTTAGTTGTCATTTGGCTTTTATTTACAAAATTATCCGATTTTCTAATTATCCTACCGATCGGTTTAAAAATCTAATTATGGTCTGGGGAATCTAATTGTAGTTACAGTATTTTTTCGATAATTGACTTTCGGTGAGTTTTATTGCAGGGTATTAATTAGAGCTGATTAATTTTGACGTGTGGTAAAAGAATATTCAATTCTATTAAAAATTTAGATCTAATGAATTTCTAATAATTCTAATTAATTTTTATTATAAGATTTTTTCTTAATAATTTTAAATAAAATTTCTAATTATTAAAATTATTAGTCTAAATCTAATTAATTTCTAATACTTCCAATTAATTCTAATTTTTTATAAAAAATTCTAATTATTAAAAAAATTTAGTTCTAATGAATTATTAATAATTCTAATTAATTTTTATATTACCATTTTTGCTTCATAATTTTAAAAAAAATTTCTAATTATTAAAATTATTGGATAGTCTAGATCTAATTAATTTCCAATACTTCTAATGAATTTTAATCTTATTATTTAAAATCCATTATAATCCAGAAAATTTCTAATTAATAGAAAAAATCAAGATCCAATTCATTTCTAATGATTCCAATGAATTCTAATTTTTTATCAGAAACTATCGATAAAAATTATTAATATTAAAAAATCCAGATCTAATGAATTTCCAATACTTCTAATGATTTCTAATTATTAAAAAATTTATATCCAATGAATTTCTAATACTTCTAATCAATTATTGTGTAAGCACATTTGCTTGATAATTTGAAAAATTTCTAATTATTAAAATCATTAGATAATCGAGATCTAATTAATTTCTAATTTTTGATTTTTCTTGCAATTAATTTTAATTTTATCATTTAAAATCCATTAAAATTCAGAAAATTTCTAATTGTTTAAAAAAGTCAAGATCTAATTTATTTCTAATGATTCCAATTAATTCTAATTATTAAAAAAATTAGATCTAATGAATTTCGAATAATTCTAATCAATTTTCATATTATCATTTTAGCTGGATAATTTCTGATAGAATTTCTAATTATTAAAATTATTAGACAGTCGAGATCTAATTAATTTTTAATACTTCCAATGAATTTCAATTTTATCATTTAAAATCCATTACAATTGATAAGGTTTCTAATTATTAAGAAAATCAAGATCTAATTAATTTCCAATACTTCCAATAAATTTTAATTTTTTTTTCTTTTTGGTCAAAAATTAACAAAAAAAATTCGTAATCATCAAAAATTCAGATCTAATGAATTTCCAATAAAATTCTAATTTTATAATTTTCTTTAAAAATCACCCCATGATAATTCTAATTAATAGAAAGTTCAGATCCAATTAATTTCCAATACTTCCAATTAATTCTAATTTTTTCCCACTCAAAAATCATCAAAAATTTAGATCTAATAAAAAATTCTAATTTTATAATTTCTTCTTAAAATCAACCCATGATATTTCTAATTACTAGAAAGTTTAAATCTAATTAATTTCCAATACTTCCAATAAATTTTAATTTTTTTTTCTTTTTGGTCAAAAATTAACAAAAAAAATTCGTAATCATCAAAAATTCAGATCTAATGAATTTCCAATAAAATTCTAATTTTATAATTTTCTTTAAAAATCACCCCATGATAATTCTAATTAATAGAAAGTTCAGATCCAATTAATTTCCAATACTTCCAATTAATTCTAATTTTTTCCCACTCAAAAATCATCAAAAATTTAGATCTAATAAAAAATTCTAATTTTATAATTTCTTCTTAAAATCAACCCATGATATTTCTAATTACTAGAAAGTTTAAATCTAATTAATTTCCAATACTTCCAATGAATTTTATTTTTTTTTCTTTACTTAAAAATTATCAAAAATTTCCGATAAAATTCTAATTTTACAATTCTCCCTTAAAATAAACCCATGATATTTTTAATTAATAAAAAAATTCGGATCCAATAAATTTCCAATACTTCCAATGAATTCAAATTTTTTTTTCTTCCCTAAAAAATCATCTCAACCTTTCAATTAAAAAAAAAAAAAAATCCAATAAAACAGACATCAAAAAAGGCAATTAGAACATTTCTCTGTAAATGACGGGTATAATCATGAGGTGAACCATCATCAGCCCATCGGACATCTCATATGGAACACACATCTAGAATAATTTTAAACCCTCCGCATCGCAGCCCCTATCTCTCTATAAACTATCTAGTAGTAATACTACCCCATGTAGTACTACACACTCTGCGATGATTTCTGATTAACGGGCAGTTGTTTCGCGTGCTCGCGGCAGCGGACGTCGAGTAATGACTCTGGGGGCGACGGGAGCTCATTCTTCCACCCCACTTCCACCCACCCTGACCCCCCGCCGCCCTCCGAGCAGGGAAATAGGATATAGACGATATTGTATTCGAATTTGCAGGACATCATCAATGATTGTCATTTTGATTACAATGACAGTCATTGAGCGAGGGGTAAAATAAATTCTTGGAGCTTACCTCTGCCACTCCGTCCGACAAACCTCAGGTCGTTGAATTTCGCCACCTGGTTCTTCATCAACGCCGTCGAGTTTCTCAATTCTGCACAACAATTCTCGTCATTTCCAGCCCTTACCGTCACCAGGGTCCCGTCACCCACGTCCCCGAGGGCCACGACCTTGAACGCCACTGGTAGGGTCTTGTTCGACCGCCAGTGCGTCGGCAATTGGCTGCAGAGGAAGTACGGCGACCCTAAAACACAAATTTTACCCTTTTTGTTAAGCTTTTATCTTTATTTTGTAATTTTGGGATTCTAAATTGTTTTAGGGCGAATATCTTTAAAAGGGTTGAGAATATCGAAAATGTCATTCAGGTGGATTTTGTAGGTCATGAAATTTTGAAGAAAATGAGCCCTAGTTCGATTTTTTTGGACAATTAGTTTCTAAGTTATGACACTTTTTGTATTCATATATATCAAGAGGCATTATAACAAAATTTTTGAGTTTTTTTAAAAAAGTTTTTCGGGAGGTTTGGATGGAGGTATCCTGATGAATTTTTTTGGAAAAGTTAGTCTGGAGTGTGGAGGAACTTTTGGCCCAAAATTTAAGGCTCTATGATGGTTTGTTTCTAAGCTATGGCAATTTAAATATTCATGTATATCAAGAGTCATTTATAGCAAAATTTTGAAGATCGGATTTTTGAGTTTTTTTAAGAAAGTTTTTTGGGAGGTTTGGATGGAGGTATCTTGATGAATTTTTTTGGAAAAGTTATTCAGGAGTGTAAAGTAACTTTTGGCCCAAAATTTAAGGTTTTACGATCGTTCGTTCCCAAGATACAACCGTTTAAATATTCATGAGTATCAAAAATCTTTATAACAAAATTTTGGAGTCAAATTTTTTAAAGAAGTTTTTTGGGAGGATTGGATGGAGGTATCCTGATAAATTTTTTTTGGAAAAGTTAGTCTGGAGTGTTTCTAATGATTCCAATGAATTCTAATTTTTTATCAGAAACTATCGATAAAAATTATTAATATTAAAAAATCCAGATCTAATGAATTTCCAATACTTCTAATGATTTCTAATTATTAAAAAATTTATATCCAATGAATTTCTAATACTTCTAATCAATTATTGTGTAAGCACATTTGCTTGATAATTTGAAAAATTTCTAATTATTAAAATCATTAGATAATCGAGATCTAATTAATTTCTAATTTTTGATTTTTCTTGCAATTAATTTTAATTTTATCATTTAAAATCCATTAAAATTCAGAAAATTTCTAATTGTTTAAAAAAGTCAAGATCTAATTTATTTCTAATGATTCCAATTAATTCTAATTATTAAAAAAATTAGATCTAATGAATTTCGAATAATTCTAATCAATTTTCATATTATCATTTTAGCTGGATAATTTCTGATAGAATTTCTAATTATTAAAATTATTAGACAGTCGAGATCTAATTAATTTTTAATACTTCCAATGAATTTCAATTTTATCATTTAAAATCCATTACAATTGATAAGGTTTCTAATTATTAAGAAAATCAAGATCTAATTAATTTCCAATACTTCCAATAAATTTTAATTTTTTTTTCTTTTTGGTCAAAAATTAACAAAAAAAATTCGTAATCATCAAAAATTCAGATCTAATGAATTTCCAATAAAATTCTAATTTTATAATTTTCTTTAAAAATCACCCCATGATAATTCTAATTAATAGAAAGTTCAGATCCAATTAATTTCCAATACTTCCAATTAATTCTAATTTTTTCCCACTCAAAAATCATCAAAAATTTAGATCTAATAAAAAATTCTAATTTTATAATTTCTTCTTAAAATCAACCCATGATATTTCTAATTACTAGAAAGTTTAAATCTAATTAATTTCCAATACTTCCAATGAATTTTATTTTTTTTTCTTTACTTAAAAATTATCAAAAATTTTAATCTAATAAATTTCTAATAAAATTCTAATTTAATAATTTTTCTTTAAAATTAACCCATGATATTTCTAATTAACAAAAAATTCAGATCTAATTAATTTCCAATAAATTCTAATTTTTTTCTTTACTTAAAAATTATCAAAAATTTCCGATAAAATTCTAATTTTACAATTCTCCCTTAAAATAAACCCATGATATTTTTAATTAATAAAAAAATTCGGATCCAATAAATTTCCAATACTTCCAATGAATTCAAATTTTTTTTTCTTCCCTAAAAAATCATCTCAACCTTTCAATTAAAAAAAAAAAAAATCCAATAAAACAGACATCAAAAAAGGCAATTAGAACATTTCTCTGTAAATGACGGGTATAATCATGAGGTGAACCATCATCAGCCCATCGGACATCTCATATGGAACACACATCTAGAATAATTTTAAACCCTCCGCATCGCAGCCCCTATCTCTCTATAAACTATCTAGTAGTAATACTACCCCATGTAGTACTACACACTCTGCGATGATTTCTGATTAACGGGCAGTTGTTTCGCGTGCTCGCGGCAGCGGACGTCGAGTAATGACTCTGGGGGCGACGGGAGCTCATTCTTCCACCCCACTTCCACCCACCCTGACCCCCCGCCGCCCTCCGAGCAGGGAAATAGGATATAGACGATATTGTATTCGAATTTGCAGGACATCATCAATGATTGTCATTTTGATTACAATGACAGTCATTGAGCGAGGGGTAAAATAAATTCTTGGAGCTTACCTCTGCCACTCCGTCCGACAAACCTCAGGTCGTTGAATTTCGCCACCTGGTTCTTCATCAACGCCGTCGAGTTTCTCAATTCTGCACAACAATTCTCGTCATTTCCAGCCCTTACCGTCACCAGGGTCCCGTCACCCACGTCCCCGAGGGCCACGACCTTGAACGCCACTGGTAGGGTCTTGTTCGACCGCCAGTGCGTCGGCAATTGGCTGCAGAGGAAGTACGGCGACCCTAAAACACAAATTTTACCCTTTTTGTTAAGCTTTTATCTTTATTTTGTAATTTTGGGATTCTAAATTGTTTTAGGGCGAATATCTTTAAAAGGGTTGAGAATATCGAAAATGTCATTCAGGTGGATTTTGTAGGTCATGAAATTTTGAAGAAAATGAGCCCTAGTTCGATTTTTTTGGACAATTAGTTTCTAAGTTATGACACTTTTTGTATTCATATATATCAAGAGGCATTATAACAAAATTTTTGAGTTTTTTTAAAAAAGTTTTTCGGGAGGTTTGGATGGAGGTATCCTGATGAATTTTTTTGGAAAAGTTAGTCTGGAGTGTGGAGGAACTTTTGGCCCAAAATTTAAGGCTCTATGATGGTTTGTTTCTAAGCTATGGCAATTTAAATATTCATGTATATCAAGAGTCATTTATAGCAAAATTTTGAAGATCGGATTTTTGAGTTTTTTTAAGAAAGTTTTTTGGGAGGTTTGGATGGAGGTATCTTGATGAATTTTTTTGGAAAAGTTATTCAGGAGTGTAAAGTAACTTTTGGCCCAAAATTTAAGGTTTTACGATCGTTCGTTCCCAAGATACAACCGTTTAAATATTCATGAGTATCAAAAATCTTTATAACAAAATTTTGGAGTCAAATTTTTTAAAGAAGTTTTTTGGGAGGATTGGATGGAGGTATCCTGATAAATTTTTTTTGGAAAAGTTAGTCTGGAGTGTAAAGTAACTTTTGGACCAAAATTAAAGGTTCTATCATCGTTTAATACAAAGATATGACAATTTAAATATTCATATGTATCAAATGTTATTATAACAAAATTTTGAACACTATGAATCTTATAACGCAAATATCTTTGTATCCGTCGCAAGAAAAAAAATCATAAGACAGCAATTATTGTAGCCCTTAAAATTTGGAGAAAAAATTTTTCACCCCTTAGTTTTTAAGATATGATATTTTTTGCATTCATATACAACAAAATTTTGAACATTATGAATCTTATAACTTAAATATCTCCAAAATGATTAAAGATATCAAAAATTCATAAGAGACCAATAGGTAGCCCTCAAAATTTTGAACAAACAAAACTTTTTTTCAATTTTTTCCACCCCTTAGTTTTCAAGATATGATAACTTTTCGCATTCACATATACCCAATATCATGATTCGTGATCAAATTTTGACTATCATGAATCTTATACAATCCAATTTATCTTAAAATTTGAATATCTCGATAACTATGATAGCTATTAAAAAATTCAAAGATACCAAAATTAGTAGCTTATAAAATTCCGGACCAAATAAGCTTTGATTCAATTTTTTCACTAATTAATCTAATATCCAAATTATTATTTAATTTCTATTCATATTTATCATCAAAAATTACCCCTATAATTAATAATTGAAACTCGCAAAAAAATTGGACCTGATTCGGCTGCCCAATTTTAAAACACAGTAAAATTTTTATACCTGATTTTTTTTAGTATATACTCCTGCATTTGTTATAACTTTTAGACCTTAATTTCAAGTATTTTCTATTCAGAAATAAAATTGTTTATCAATTAGGCGCGCAAACATTTTAATAAGAAAAATTTTAAAATTGTCAGACTGTGTTTTGAAATTGGGCAGCCGCTGATTCCTTATTGGTTAAAATTAAGGCGCGCAATTTAAATTTTTAGTTACAAAAAAATTTTTATCACAAATTTAAGACCCCAAAATATCTCCTTAATTATCACACCTTAAAAAAAAAAATCCTAAAGGCCCAAAATAAAATTCCTAAAAATTCTGATCCGACTTTTTTTAAAAATTTTCTGCCCCTACGAAAAAATCCAAAAAATTACCAGTCCTGACAAGCTCCCCAGGATGCTCAGCCTGGGCCTCACCAACAAGCCTCTCGGTCCACCAGAGCTCCCCGACGGCGGCTCCCTCGCTCATTTCGCCCCCGCTCCCGTTGACGGAGCCCAGAGGAGCGCCCACGGCAGTCGCGCGGTTCCCGTCAGCGTCCTCGGGGTACCGGGAGTGCGTTCCTTGCTGCGAGGACCCGACGGAATCGTAATTCTCCCCGCAACCAACCGAGTCCACTGGTAGATGCATCCCATCGGCCCTCACGCGCCCCTCCAACCCTCCAGGTTCCGTAGCTGCTAATTTTTGGTCCCTCCAAAAATCACCCCAAACTCAAAACACTCTTTTTGTTACTCTCCATTGCACTTTCATTGTTTCTTCACAAAATCACTCGAAAAATACCGACACTTAATTATCAAATTGTATCAATCACAATAATTAATTATAATTACACCAGATTTAATTACACCGCGACGTTTGTTTCGATTTTAAAGTCAATAAAACACGAGTTGTATCTCTTACTATTTATCCCGAGCACGGTCAGTCGCGGTGGACGGCGTGCGACCAAATGCCGAAGGTCTTGATGAGTAGCGGCGCGGCAGCGTGTGCCTACCGCTATTCGGAGAGAGAGATCGGGCCGCCCAGCCCGCGGTACTCTACTATATAATAATATAAGCCGAGTTGTATGTAATAGCATCTACGCTTCACGCTCTACTCAGCTTCCCTGCTCACTCTTTCTAGAGAATGTTTAGACTATGTATTTGTATGTGGGCTTGATGTTGTGAGTCGTGGTGGGCAGTGGAATAATAGTTGGTTTTTATTTTAAGAATAAGAATTTTTGATTAAAAATATGGACTAAAATTTCGAAAAAAATAATTTATAATAAAGAAATGGCCTTTCTTGTGAACTATTGACATTTTTAAAGATATAAGCTCATCCTGATGTTACACTCATCAAGACCTTTCATTTGAGTACCCACATTAATTTTTCATATATTTCATATATTTATATATATATATATATATATATATGTATATATGAAAAATATATCAAATATGGATGTGGGTACTCAAATGGAAGGTCTCGATGAGTGTAATGTCAAAATGAGCTTATATCCTTGAAAATGTCAATAGTTGAGTAATTACAGTGCAATTTAACAAATGTCTTGGGAACTATTGACATTTTTAAAGATATAAGCTCATCCCGATGTTACACTTATCAAGAGCTTTCATTTGAGTAGCCACATCAATTTTTCATATATTTTATATATTTATATATATTATATATATGTATATATGAAAAATATATCAAAAATTGTATGTGGGTACTCAAATGAAAGCTCTTGATAAGTGTAACATCGGGATGAGCTTATACCTTTAAAAATGTCAATA